GACTTCAGGTGTTCAGAAGTGAGGATATTGTCATGCACCACCTACCAGGCAAAGGATTCTACCGTTGGGGGGGCTAGGTTGCCCTACACTCCATTTATCTGGTCTGATCCCATTCCTTCTCTTAATAGTGCCTTGTAGAATGACTTAACAGTGAATATGCCTTCTCTACATTCTTTCCACCATATACCCTCTTTTGTTGACCTAGTAATGTTGGTCCCTTATAAGTCCCAAACTATAATCCTAACCCAATCTCACTTTTAATTCGATGTATTAACCCTACACCAACCTAAACTGAATTGGGGTATTTTATATGTTCTTTTTGCTAGGAAAGAACAGGGCGGCACATCGGAGTTTGTGTTGCACAAAAAAAACTTATATTCAGAAAGAATAGTTGGTGTATATTTCTTGTTTTTTTTTTTATTTATTTGGAAGAGATCAATGGAACGTAAACCGCTTGAGAGAGCTTTTCTCAGAGGCAGAGATAATGAGCTGTTATCGGAGTGGGAATTAATACAGTGAAATCCGGATATAACACCTATCTCGGAGACAAACCACCCCTTAGCCGAACTGATCCGGCCCATCCGCAGCCAACGGTGTGAAAGAATATATGGAGCTTAAGAGGACCTCCTAAGTAAGATGTGTAATTTCCGGTGGCGTTATTGCTCCAATGCCTTGGCAACAGCCAACAAGGAAAGCTTTAACGAGCAAAAGGCATTAACAAAGACCCCACTTGTGAGTTGTGGCTGGGCAGCCCTCTTTCACCGTGCTCATTCAGTTCAGGCCCCTAACGTATATGATATATAGTTACAGTATATACAGACATAGCCAATGATCCAGTAATTCATTTGGTCACTCGGCATCTCTTCTTTGAGGCTCAAAGGCTCTCCATGTGGTAAATGCCAATGTACTCCACACATGCATGTAATTTGCCACCACTAGCCTGCTATGCTAAGGGACTTCTCAACTGGCTTTTGGTCATGCTTTGATGAGTTAACTTTGAATTTGATGTTCCAAACTTTCAATATCTAATGTACCATATTATAGATTGTAGCTATGATGTTAGAGCTTAAATAGTTTAACCTATATAAGTCTTAGACCTATAAGGCTAGAGTTTACCTGTCAATTACTTAATGGTCTAACCAATTGAGCTATTATAATTTTAGAAATATGGCATTTTGTTTTGGCACACATTTCACCTTGCACCTTGTACGTTACCTTACACCCCAAGCTCTAAGAACCCCTTGTGTTTTATTGCTTCCTTTCTTTTAGAACACTAGAAAGAAGGGAGTGGAGTTATAATCTTTGTTTGAGGGTGTATTCTTCATGTTCATACTTTCATATGCCAAAAATATTGATAATTGTTTATTTTTAGATATAATTTTTTTCCTGAAAGGAAGTGATATAAGAGCTGGCATGTCAGATATGAGATTTTCTAAATATATATTGATGGGTAGTGTGATTATTGTTGTAAAATTTTGAAGCTTTTTTTGAGTCATTAATAGTTTTCCTAACTGGTATTTGAGTCATTAAAGAGAGTATTTACTTTTCCAACATGTAAATTATATAGCCATTCTAGAATGAATTCCCCAATTTATTTATTTATTTATTTTCTATGAATAGACGGAGAAAAATTTGCTTTATGCAATTGTTGGGGCTGCAACTGCTACGGTTGCAGTTACATTTTCATTGTTGCAAGAATATGTGGATTATATTGATAGGGAACCATCCGTGAACCGGGATTTTGAACGAAGGAATTTATTGGATAGATTATATGGACAAAAAGAAATAGATTGTTATAACCAATTGAGAATGGGGAAAGCAGCCTTTGCAAGGCTATGCAATATTATTCATGAGACAGGAAGACTACATGATAAAATTAGGTGCACGGTAGAAGAATAAGTGGCACGCTTCCTACACATATTGGCACACAACGTTAGGAATAGAACAATGGGCTTTCATTTCAGTCGGTCTGGTGAGACTGTGAGCCATCATTTCAACAACGTATTGAATGCTTTGTTGAGCTTGGAGGATAGGTACTTGATTCAACCAAGTGGTACTGAAACACCTCTAGAAATTAGAAACCGACGTGATTTTTGGCCATATTTCAAGGTAACTAATTTGGCAAGTCTTCTTTATGACGTATACACCCAAAAAAATGAATAATAAAAAACTTAAATCTACTGGCAGGATTGTGTTGGGGCAATCGATGGCTCACACCTCCCTGTGAAAGTCCCTTCTACTGATGTTGCTAGGTTTCGAGGTTGTAAATCTTATCCTACACAAAACATCCTTGTTGCATGCACTTTCAATTTGTGGTTCACATATGTATTACCTGATTGGGAGGGTGCCGCATCGGATTCTCACATGCTTAACAATGCTCTGAGGAGAGAGCATAAATTAGAGGTCCCTTAAGGTAGTAATAAACTCTCACAAGAGACATTTTTATTTAATAGATAAGTATGTACGTGTTTTCTAACTTTTTATATTTTAAATAGATAAATATTATCTTATAGACGCAGGATTTTCATTAAAGACGGGGTTCATTACACCATATCGAAACACACGATACCATCTAAAGGAATGGGGTGCACATCAACCTGAGAACCCAAAAGAACTGTTCAACCTTCGACACTCATCACTTAGAAATGTTGTTGAAGGGATCTTTGGGGTATTGAAGAAACGCTTTTCAATCTTGCTATCTCAGCAACATTACCCTTTTAAGTCACAGGTGAAGATTGTGTTTGCATGCTGCATCTTACACAACCATGTCATGGGTGTGGATCCGTATGATTTCATCATGCGTCAGTATGATCGAGAAGCAGTTRATACTGAGGATGATGCATGAATTGATGATTTAAATGATGATAGAGCAGACAATACACAAATCTCCCAACTATCYCAACGAGCTAGTAGAAATGAACAATCAAGGGAAGGAATTCGTCTCAGAGAAGAAATAGCTACCCAAATGTGGGCTGATTATGTCTGGTATCGATCTAGGGCTCGACATTAATTTCTTCCTGTTGTTTAACTCTTTCTTTCTAATATAACTTTTGTTGTATAACTTTTTTTCTGTGTGCACTCACTTCTTTAACTGATTATGATGTTTGATTTTATTAATTGCCTATTGCTATTTATACAAAAATACCTTGTATTAATTAGTATTATGAATATATATTGTTGATTTGCATTGTTCATTTGATTAGCATGAAATAGAAATGGACTCTTCTAGCTCTCAGCCTGAAAACAAGACTGGAAAAACAAATATGAATTGGACACAGGACATGGATAATTTACTCATTGACACACTTGCTGAGCAGGTAACCTTGGAAACAAGGTTGACAAAAGTTTCAAATCATCGGCTTACACTGCAGTGGCACGTGCTATTAGCACTATGTTTTCAGTTGAATGTACTCAAGGACACATACGAAATAGGCTGAAAAAAATCAAGCGGAATTTTGCAATATTAAAAAACCTTTTGAATCAAAGTGGTTTTGCGTGGAATGATTCAACCAAGACAATAGATGCAACACCTGATGTTTGGGCTACATATATTGAGGTAAAATAGATTAACAACASTTATACTTTAAACACTTGGTTTACAAATTATATGAAAGATGACTTATTAGTACGGAATGTGACTTATTATGGAGCTCCCATGGTAAATGAGCAGGCACATCCAGGGGCAAAACAATTTAGACGAAAAAGCATTCCAAACTATGACCAATTGGCATTGGTATGTGGAAATGATCAAGTGACTGGAAATAGTGCCTTTATAGCCAAAGAGCTAAATAAGTAAGATGCAATTTCTGCAACTACCACTAGTGCAACACCGAATGTTGAGCATGTGTTTGATGACATTGATGAGGCTGAGAATTCTGGAGATCCTAACCTTCAAGCAAAGCCGGTGGAGGGAAGTAGTTTTGTAGAAGGAAGAGTTTTAGGAAAACAAAAGTCATATGCTGCAATTGTTGCTAAACAATTGCAAGACATTGTTACACATCTCGGGAAACTTGCATCTGCAGTTAAGAGAGGGTTTTGTTTATTTAGCAAGGAAAAAGTGTATGCTGATGTTATGAGCCTAGAAGGATGTTCAGTGGCATTTTTTATGAAAGCATATGACTTCTTAGTTGAGTCTGAAAGTCGAGTTATGACATTTTACGGAGTGGAGCCAAATTTGAGGAAGGCATGGCTTCAAATGAAGTTAGGGCCTCCGTATTGAAGGGATGGATAAAAGACTTAAACTATTATAACTCACATTTATTAACAAACTAGGTACTAATGATATATGACAAAAACTTGTTTTGATGGTTGAGCCTTTGCGTCCATTTTGTATATTTTTTGGGGATGCATTGGCAATTTGATTATTGTCCTTTTTTTTTTGCGATGGTCAATCTACTTGTATTAGGTGGAATGAATGGTTATATTTTACCACAAATGGATTTATTGGTATATGGATGATTATGACTATATGGAATGAATAGGTTGAACAATTGGCATTGATGAACTAATTATAGGTTAAAGACAAATTCAAATGATTTATTGATGTATGTATGACTTTTTGAATGAAATATGTTATTGAATGCAATTTCTTTGATGTACCAACAGGTCCAAATAATAGAGCAATTTTAGTTCTTACTAGTTTCTTTTATGAATGCATGCACATGTTTTTTATGGATGAATACATTGAGTAAACCTATGAACAAATTCTATGATGAATGAACAGGTCCAAATAATTAAGCCTTTCTTACTATTTTTAAGTAAAATTTTTGAATGAGTAAGTTTAATAACACTATCATGCCACGTGGCAAGTTCAACCATATGTGTCATACATTTGGGGGGTACAAGTTGTCATAAAAGTAAATTACATGCATTTTTTTAATTTAGCATGATTTTTATCTTATAAATTTTCTTGCAAAATAAACACTAGAAAGTGGATTTTCTCACCAAAAATTTCTTAGCAAATAAACACATTATAACTTATGAGAAAATAAATTTTCCTCTTCTCATCCCATCCTTTCTCAGTCCAATTTTCTCAGCAATCAAACAACCCTAAGAAATCGCCCGTCGCATAGGGTCGAAGTTCTAACACTCTGCGCTTCGGTCTCCAAAGCGGGCAAAGTTCTAACTGAGCTCGCGCCTGAGCTGCCTCTAAGAATTAAGCAAGCTCTTTTTAACTTGCCAAGTTTTCTTATCCCTTGTCTTCCTTCGTTTTCGGTTCATACAGTGTTTTTTCTCTGTTCTATTTGATCTGCAAATGTAATTGAAGAAACGTTTAGTTCTACTACGGTGTTGCTTACCATGCATCCGCTGTCTGTCTGTCTGTCTGTCTGGGTTTGGTTTTAACTTTCTTGTCTATAGCAGAACTAATGGGAGAAGAGGAACAGATGCAGCCTGCTTTAGAGAACGAGGCAACTGCTGAAACTACAGATGGTGGTGATGTATTTTCTTGGCCCGTGCTTCGGTTTGATATTCCGCCAAAGAGAGTTTGCCATTTATACCAACAGTTCAGGAAAGCTTCAAACCCTAACAATTTTCTGAAAGGCGTAAAATGGTAATTTATATTGTTTTTTTTTTTTTTTCTCTATTACCTTTGGTTTGGATTTCTAGAATTGTTCTTTCTGCAATGGCTGCTAAGTTTTGTTGTTGGAATCATGTTTTAGGTCTCCCGATGGTTCGTGTTTCCTGACGAGTTCCGAGGATAATACACTTCGTGTATTTAATTTGTAAGTATGTTGAACCTCTCAAAGAACGTTCAACTAAAAGCTTTAAGATGTTAGGTGAGGTCTTTTTATTCTCTAACACGCCCCCTGACGAAAGCCCATCGAGCTTGAAGCGTGGACAATGCAAAGATAATCTCTTGCTATTTTACTGTTCTTTTTTTTTTTTTTGCTAAAATGAAGATGGTGCTGCTGGTGCAATGTTTTAGCTAACTAGGTGGTGTTACTTGTCACATTAATCTGAAAGCTATATCCTCTCTGACAATGTGAATGGAAGCCTAAAGGTAAGGAAAGGTAGGGAAACCTATTTTTTCCTTCCTTTCCCGTCTTTTCCCTACCAATGTTCTGAAAATCGTAATTGTATCATAAATTGTCAAAAAACTACAAAAATACCTAAATCCCCAAAAAATTATGAAAATGAATGACTTTGTTCTAATTTTTAGCTTATAGACATAAAATGGGAGAATGACCGATACCCCCAGTGTCAGAATTTGTAGGTTCAAAGTACATTTGGGGTAGGTGCCAGCTCAGAATTGGTGCCAATTCACGGGTGGGTGTGGGTGCATAGGGTGTGGTTTTTGGATGTTTTGAATGTTTATAGCTGTGCAGTGGGAATCAGAAATCTGCATTGGGTGTATCCGTACTTCTCTGTAAAATAAATAGGTAGTAATGTTACTATAGTAGTCGACTGGTAGTGAGTCTGACAGTTACACCACTTTCATAAATCGTAATTCAATAGATTCCATGGTATGATCAAGTTCAACTTCAATTTTAAGCAATAAAAATTATATCCTTAATTGTATTGTTATTTGATATGATCATATAATTAATTATATAAATAAGAGCTTTACATGACATCACGTTCATGTCTTTCAAGTTTCAATAATTTAAGCCAAATCATCAATACAAGAATACAATAGTGAAATAATGCAAGAAAATAAATTAAATTTTGAAATCTAATAATTTTTTTTGGTAATTAATACCATTGCATAATTGGACATAACTCATAAGCACATTCCATTGACATAAACAGCTAAACAACCAAAGAGATGCTATGTGGACAAGTATAATAAATTACAAATGTAGCCAAATCATAAGCCTAACCCCATCCACTAAACCAACATAAATAAAGACTTATAGATTGAAGCTAACAAAGAAATCCTCACTGATCAATAAGGAATATACAGTTCTTCAGTGTTCAGCAAAGATGCCCTATTCTATTGTTGCCTCCAACCATTTATAAACAAAAGGACACCTAGCAAGAAGAACAACTAACTTAAAAATTAAAATATGATACATAGTTAAAATGAAAAGTCTTATGAAATAATGAAAACATAACAATGGTCAAAAATAAGATGAGAAAAATGCGGGTGAGCCCTTGTTTTGCATCAGAAAAAGAGAAAAGTATAAGAGGTTGAAGCTCCTGTGTTTGTATACAAAAGAAAAAGGAAAAAAATGAAGTAGAAAAAGAGGAAAATGCAATAGGGTGGAGCCCCTGTTTTCATTGCAAAAAATTCATGCAAAAACAGAATAGAAGAAATGTTTTGCGTCAAAAGAAGAAGGGTTGGACCTTATCCCTTTCATCTACAACTAAAAAAATAAAAGAAAAACCCTTACCTTGCATGCAAAAAAACCAGAAGAATGAAAGAAATGGGGCAGAGCCCCTGTTTTGCGTCAAAAGAAGAAGGTGGAACCCCTGTTTTGCATCAAAAGAAGAAGAAGATAACAGAAATAAAAAAAAAACCCTTACCTTTCATGCAAACAAGGGGATGAGGGTTGGAGCTTCAATGGAGGGTTTCGTCTCTTCTAGTCTCCCGCCCAAGAATTTCTTTCAATAGTAAGAAGCCTCTTTAACAAAATGACAATGCTGCCCCTTGATGTAAATGTGTAGCTTTTAAAAAAGTGGAGGGCTAAATGGTCTTTTTATCTTAAATTATATTTTGGTTCTAATCATTTAAATCGGTTCTGAATCGCGATTTACGATTTGATACAACGATTTGAACATAAATCACACGATTAATTTCAAAAATGATTAGGACATACGATTTGAATCGTTTTGGGGCCAATTCGATATGAATCGTACGATTCAAATCGTGAATCGCACGATTTAAAAAACATTGTTCCCTACCTTTTCTTTAGCCAGGATTGTAGGAGGGTCAGATCAGCTAGGACTGCAGGAGATGTAGATTCAATGTAATTACAATTTTAGCTATTTGTTAACTATGCTTGTTGATGTTATTACTTTAAATGGTTATAGCAGTTACTGCTCCAATAGTAGTCAAAGTCAGGTTAATTAGGAGTAGTTTGACTTTATTCTGTCATAAGCAATTCTCATGAGTATTTTAGATGTGATGTGAATTTGAGATTTTTTCCTCACATTGACCAGTCAGATAAAAAGACATTCTTCTTTATTTATAAAAAAGACTTAATCCTTAAATTTGTTGACAAACCAAATAAGAACATCAATTTGCCCTGTTACCTTCTCTCTCTCTCTCTCTCTAAAGGGAATATCACTTTGGTGTTATTCCTTGTTAGTTGCTACATGTCTAGTCTAGCATAGTAGCACTTAATTTCTTATTCTGAATTTCTTTAGGTAGTTTTTATTTGGTGTAGTGGTGGTCTCTTATGTGCCAGATTTTTAGAGGAATAGTTAGTGTGCAGAAGGATGTAGTAAGTTGTGTTAGTTTTCTAATTAAAGTCTATATGTAAGCGATACAATGGAAGGAGAAGGAAGAGTTAATTTAACAAAGGTCTATTATTGAGAGCTTTTAGGAGGTCCTCCAGCCTCAAAGTGGATTCTTTAATCAACTCTCTCTTTTTATATTTTATTTTGTTTATTAAAAATATGTATTCATGACTAACCACATCCTTGAAAATACTAACCACTAATCCGAAAATTTGACATATAAGAATCCACAAGTCCATAAGTAAAACACTACCTAGATATTCAAAATAAGAAATTAACTACTAGACACATGTTATACAACCCTCTATTAAACTGTAATGTCCTCAAGATTGTCATTCTTTAGGATCCCAAATTTTGATGGCTCCACTCTACTGGTTGGAACAAAGGATTGAGCCTGTAGTTGTGAAGCCCTAGTGGTGGGTAATAGGAAAAAAGGGCCATGTAAAATATTCTGAGATTGTATATGATTCTAATAAGATCGTATATATCAATTATTGCTATGGTGCAAATTGGACTGGTTTGAAGCACTTCCACTGCATTGTGCCTGTGCCCTTGGGCTAGGCACCTTCAAAATTTAAAAAATGCCCAACCCAGGCCTGTCCATGTTGCATCCTTAATTGCAGCTTTCTTAACAACTAAAGGGAATAACACCTTTGACCACCATGATTTCCTCAGTCTGGTCACTAGAAACATAGATTGCAATGTTGTCTGTTCTTCTCTGTTCATCATCATCATCATTGCTGTTGGCAAATACTATGTCTAGAATAACGTTCAAAATTTTCTCCAATCCGTGATACTGTTCTTTATGCCATTTTTCTTGAAGTTCATATCTTTCAGCAGATGCTTGACCATTATTTTAATATCTTCTGATAGCCCAAGGTTATTAATTCAGATACAATTCTGTTTTGCGTGTTTTTTTTGTAAATGAAATAAATTAAAATAAATGGGAGAAAATGCATGAGAGAATCCAGTTCAAGGGTGGAGAACCTCCTAAAAGCTCTAAACAAGAGACCTTTCTCAAATTAACTTCTTCCTTATCCTCCCATTTGATCTTCCTTCTTCTCCCAATGGATCACTTTCAGTTGAATATATAGACTTAAATTAGGAAACTATCACAACTGACAATATCCTATTAACAAAACTATCTGCTCAACTAAAAATACCTATAATCCTACTACTACAATCTTTCAAAAAATCCTACTACACTAAAAACTACCTAGAAAAATTGAAAATAAGAAATTAGCTGCTAGATACATAACATTTCTACCTTTCTATGTTCAGCCCATTCATTCCTGATGAGTCTCATCATAATCTAAGGTTTGTCCTAACTATATGCAGTTGGCTACATGAATCCTGTTTCACCATTCCATTCTGTTCGGTGCCATATCCATCATTAAATTATGGGCACTTAAATAATTTCTTATTACTTCCACCCAAGTCCTTCTTGGCCTGTCCCTAGCCCATCTAGCCCCTTTAACTTGTGATAAATCACTTTCTCTAACAGGTTCTGTAGATGGTATTCTACACTTCGTTCTTAATAAGCCTGATGACTAAAAATTAGCAAGCATGCTTTTTCTTCATTTATGATTTTTGTTGTCAGGAACAAAGGAAGAAAAACCATGTTATGGTAATATTTCTTGATTTATCACAGAACATATTATTTTTTGATAATTGCTTCATCATGTGATTGATCCCATGTAATTGGGTAATTGGGTAATTGGGTCAATGCTTTTCTGAGTTTACCTGAGTTATAACTGCTTCAGCCTATTTGTTAAAGAAATGGTTTTGATTAGCATTGTTATAATATATTTGCAATATTTATTTTTATGAAACTTTTTGGATGAATCATATGATACTATGAGATAACTTACTCTTACTGATAATTCTTTTTTTTTTCTTAGACCAGATAATGTGGATGGCAGTCATGTAGATGCTTGTATTTCAAAGGCAGATGAAGGTATGCTTGTGCTTTTGTATTCAGACAACCATTCAACTACGCATCTGAAGTGAAGATTCTCATGTATGATAGAGAGAGGTGTGCTGACAGTGCCCAAAAAATCTTACGGACAAGATAACATTTCTAAGCAGTTATCCAGGGTCAATTGGCAGTCAAAATTAACTAATAATTTTAAGGTAAGAAACAAAATAGGATGGATCAATAATATAGCTACTGATAAAAGAACCTTTCTTTGTTTATAACTAATCTGGAATTCAGCAAGGTTACATCTACACACCAAAAGGCGACATGTATAACAGTCATAATTACAATCTTTTGTTTCATTGTTGCAAATGGATCCACAAGTCTGTTTCTAGCTGTTTTTCTCTTTCATTAGTTGTGATGGAGATATCCGAAAAATCTTTAGGCTGCATGTTTTTTAAAGGAAATCTATATTTCCATGACTTGAGGATGATTCATAATCGAAGAACGGTGATTGTGTGGACAACTTGGGAGGACAGAAATGCAAGAGCTTTCAAGGAGAAGGAGAAAACCTTGGAGTCAGTCATTGGTTGGTGTACTGGATCAAGTTACTAGATCTTTTCTTACCCTTCTCAGCTGATGATATGATCAGGAAGTACGGGAGTGGTGGGTACAGCATACAAAGGAAAAAAGACTAAAAACACCATAACCATTGGGCACCACCAGAATAAGGACTCATCAAGTTAAGTTTTGTTGGGGGTAGCATGGGGAATCTGGGTCCCTCGATGGTGGAAGGGGCCTTTAGAGATGAGAAGAGCAACACAAAGGCTGTGTTCTTGGGGCTAATAAAGCAAGGAGGCTCATTAAAAGCAAAAATTATGGCTGTGATTCAAGGGGTACAAGAGGCCAGATAATGAAGATTAAGAAGCTTGATAGAGGGTGGCTCTAAAGTTGTGGTGGGATAGCTACTGAGAAAGGATGAAGCCTTGTAGGTCTATTAGGAATTGAAATTAAGAAGTTCAAATGGTTAACGGCAGGAGTGCAGGTGCTGGTATAATGGATTCAAAGATCAGCCAATGCTTTTGCAAAACAAGGGGTGAATAGAGTTCATTTGTTTCGGCCTTAGTTGTAATGACAACGTCTTGGCGAAGAGAAAGTTTGTTTCCTCTTCATTGATGTACATCACATTTGTAATGGTGTCTCTTTTCTTTCTTCCATTTTTTTCATGAAGATGCTGATTTTCTATGTTTCAAATGAAGCTTATACATTTTTTAGAGATTATAGGCAATTAATAGCAAAAGATGGTTGCTACCTGCTATGGAACCTAAGGAATTACCATAGGATTCATGGTTTTTATTTTTACCTAAGCAACTAGGCAACAATTAATAGTGAAATATGGGTTTTATTCAAAAAATAAAAAAAAATCACCTATCCTCACTTTGATGCCTTGAAAACTATGCCTCTAGGGTCCATTGCCTTACTTTGGCAATCAAGAAATACAAAGATAGCTTAACATGTTGAGCAATGAGTTCACATGGTCACAACACTTTTTTTGACCCTCCAATAAAACATGACATGCTATCAATGAAATGAAAAAAACATATCACCCAGTGAGCACCTGCTTGGGTGATTTGCTTTGATGCATTCACATGATCCAAACACTTGTGATTCTTTAATAAAACACCATTATTCTTTTAATCAAACAAAAAACCAAACTATCCAGTGAGTGCATCCTACTGTTGCTACCCCAAATGACACTAAAAATCCATTAACATATGAAAAAATAGAGATTGTCTCTAGGTTTATTACCTTACTATGGCAATTTAGAAATATAAAGGTAGCCTAACATGTTGAATGATTAGTTCAAATGACCATAGGTGAGGCACATTTTTGGATTTATGCCTCGCCTAGGCCCAAGTGCAGCCCCTTTGAACAAACATGTGCCTAGTGTGCTTTGCTCCTTAGCTTAGGTGCACGCCTTTGTTAAATCTTTCGCTTGCTTTGCTCACTCACCAAAGCTCCGAGAAGCCCCTATTTGCTAATGCTTTTCTTTAATTATTCCTAATAAAAGATATTTTGCAAAAGATAATTAAAATTATAAAATCATTTTTTGTAGGTATTAAGAATTTGAGTTACGGCTCTAATATGGATTTGTTTAGGCTTGCCTCAAGGGGCTTAGTACAAAGGTGACTTGTAAAATTAGGAATGAAATATGTTTAACATCATTTTATCTATTTGAAATAATGCAATTAGGAAAGAAATAAAGAAATTGAAAGTTTGTTGACATACTTGAATATGCTTTATATGCTATATTTGATTTTATTGTTTCCATTTTTGCTTTGTATATGTTTTTATATGTTATGGTTATGCATTTTAATTTGAGATAATAAGCTTTTTAAAATATTTAGTTTAAACATTAAATTCTGCATTTTTAATTATATTTGTTGAAATATTTTCTTAATTTATTTTGAGTTTTTTTTTTACATTTTTTGCATTTTTTTGAATTTCTAAAACTTTTACATCTTGCTTCAAAAAGGTGCATTTCACACCTTTTGTCTTGTGCTTTTAAAAACACTGCAACCGTGATGCTTTCATTCAACCCTCCAATAAAACACAAACATGCTATTGATCAAATGAAAAAAAAAATCAAATCACTTAGTGAGTGCATGACTGGTCACAACACTTTCTTGCAACCCTATAGTAAAACATAAAAGATGCTAACAATCAAATATCACCCAATGAATGCATGCCTTTTTTCTATCCTAAATGATACAAAACAACCTACTAACATATGAAAAAATAGAAACTACCTCTAAGGCCTACTACCTTACTAAATTATAAAAAAGGGTCTACAGTCTATTACCTTACTATGACAATCGAAAACTGCCAAGATAGCCTAATATGTGTTGTGATGTGTTTACATGGTCACAATACTTTCTTATGACTCGCCAATAAAACACATGTTATCAATCAAAAGAAAAACCAAATCACCCATTGGGTGTATGCCTGGGTGATTTGACTTCAATGAGTTCATGTGGTCACACCACTTTCATGTGGCCCTCCAAATCTCCAATAAGTCACAAACATTCTAATAATCAAATTTTAAACCAAATCACAAAAACATTCTAATAATCAAATTTTAAACCAAATCACCTTGTGATTGCAAGCCTAGGTGATTTGGTTTCAATTAGTCCACATGCTCACAACACTTTTTTGCAACCCTTCAATAAAACATAAGCATTCTATCAATCAAGCAAGAGAAAAAATTGCCCAATGAGTGCATGCTTGTTGTTGCCACCCCAAGTGATACATGAACTACCTGCTATCATTCATATGATAAAATGGAGACTACTTCTAGGATCTACTACCTTACTAGGAATATTAAGAAATATGAAGGTAGCCTAACATGTAGAGTGATGAGTTCACATAATCATAACGCTTTCTTGTGGCCTCTAAAAAACCCCAGACATACAAGTCAAAGGATAAAGCAAATCACCTAGTGAGCGCTTGGGTGATTTGGTTTTGATGATTTCATATAGTCCCAACAATTTCTTACGACCATTCAATAAAGCACAGGCTTGCTGCTATCAAGGGATTCTCTGTTTTTGGCTAATTTGTAACTGCAATCTTAAAAGAATTGGGTTTGGAATCACCTTTAAGGGGAGGTAACACCTCGTGCCTCCTCTTAGGGTGCTTCATGCTTGTACTATTTCTATCTCTATTTAATAAAATACCATTCATTCATAGAAAAAAAAAAGCTTGCTGCTATCAATCAAATGAAAAACCAAACAACCTAGCGAAGGCATGTCTACTATTGCTACACCAAATGATACAAGAACTACCCACTATCATATAAAATAGAGACTACCTATAGGATATACTATCTAACCATGACAATCAAGCAATACCAAGGTAACTTGACATGTAGATTGACACCTAAGTGATAAGGCTCTCATGGAGGGTCATGTTACTTAATCACCGAGATATTTTTTACAAGGTACTCTTGGATACCAAGGTAACTTTCTAATATTATAATAATAATGCAGACATTATTAAACTAAATTATTCAGTTTGAGTTGAAATACTAATTTATTTTTTATTAATTCTCTTATTTGTTAGTGTTCAATCAAGATGTATACCGTCTTAAACCCTTTTTTTAATAAGAAACAGTAACTTTCATCGATTATATTAAATAAAGAGTATAATTGTTAGTCTGTTACCACCCAAAAAATGGATGGAGAGCCCTAAAAAATAAGCAGTCTTACAAACAAGCCCAAAACAAAGCCTCCTTATTAATTCCTTGCTTAGCTAAAGTGTCAACCATTTCATTTCTGATCTTCTAGTCCATCTAAACTACATCCAAGCTCCCTTGCTAAGCACATAATTTCTCTTAGAGGTTGTTTGAAGGACCACATTTCCAATTTTCAAGTTTGCATCAAACCTATTACCAGCTTGGTGTATCCTTCCACTTCTAACTGTTGCAATCCCCTTTGTCATGCCAGTTTAAGACCTTGGAATAAGGCCTTCCTTTCCACCCTTAAAGAATCCCTCACCCTAATTGGGCCCGAGTAAAGGGCCAACACTCTTCCTTCCTCATCTTTGAAGATACCCCCAATTCCTAAAGGACCTAGTTACCTACAAAGCTTCCATCAAAGTTTAATTTCACCCTAAAATGTAGAGGTGGGGGCCAACTCTCTTGAACTATAGGAGATGAGGAAGAGGAAACAACTACAACACTCCAACCTCTAATTAAGTCATTAGAAGAGTAGCCCTTGAAAGATTCAAAGCTTTCAACCAAATGTATGATCTTGATGGTAATACCCTCGACAAGTGCTTCCTTGAAATTTTCGTGCCCTTGGAAGATTTTAGTATTTCTTTCTTCCCAAATCAACCACAAGACAACTACTCTTGTTGTTCTCCACATCACCCTACCTCTCTTTTATGGTTGTTGGAAGAAACTAGAGTCCAAAGGCTTCACCACGCATAAGGGAGGATTCCACCTACAACCGAACAGAGAGGAGAACCATTCCCAAATATAAGGGACAAAAGGATAGGAGATTAATATATGAGTCACTATCTCACCACCAGTGTTTTAAAAGTGCAAGGTGCGGGGGTCGATTTGCGCTTGAGGCACAAGGCGCAAGAAGAGGCACACGCCTTTTTAAGCAAGGCGCAAAAATTAAAAAAATGCTAAAAAATAAAAAAAATGTCAAAAAATGCCAAATAAATTAAAAAAAGCAAAAAATAAAAAAACTATTAAACATAATATTAATAAAAATGTAAACTTAAATTTTAAAATAAATGTTTTAAAAAACCTATTATCAAAAATTAAAATACATAAGCATAACATGTAAAGCATATCCAAATGAGAATTTAAAAATAAAATCAAACATATAAAACCCATAATATTTTTTTTCTCAATTACAGTACTTCAGGTAATCAACTCTGTAATGGTCTCTTACACTTAATCTCTCGGCCCATAATGATCAAACACTACTCGATAGGTAAGGACCTCTCCCCTAGCTGCAAGTTGGTGTCACACTCTCTACTCAAATGGACCCTAGAAATTAAAACCTTTTTGCAATATTTTCATAAAACATTCATATATATATATATATCATATAAATATATTTTGACCCTTGATGGATCAGAGAGAGTGTAAGCCTTATCATTCACTTTGTCCGGCAAAGGAGCTGATCCTTTCATTACGATCACCCACTCAAATGAATTCTCAGACTACCCCAACATACCCAGGTTTTGACCCTTGATGGATCTCATTGATTGGCATATCAAAGACAACCCAATCCAACACCTAGTGCAGTACCATAAATAAGTCTAGGGGTTATGTGTAACTTTCCAGTTTTGCCCATCAATCTCCAAGGTCCAGGGCATAACCGGAAAATGGTCCAGGTTTAGTGTTTCATCTAAACACACACTACATGTGCTTCGGGTTTAACCCTAGCAGATAAGACAAGTTGCCCCAACTTATTTGGCAACACATCAGTGTCAGCCTTGGCAGGATAAACTCCCCAAGTCTATCCAATGGCTGAGAACATTCTAAACTAACACGAGTCTCATAAGTGTCCAGTTTAAGGGGTAAATACACAGAAACATATCAATATTAACATGAAACAATAAGGGCATACACTGTCTAACACTATTATCCAGGCAAGACTGATCTAAGAAAACTGAATTTAAAAGAGAGATAACAACTCATATGCAAAACGCACTTCTAAGTCCCTTAACCCTTTCCTCAAGCCTAGATCCCAAGAACCAGGAGGAGATGGCCTTGAATTTATTTAAAGAAAGGGAATACATAACTAGGAACCTATCCTTGACGAGAGTGTTCCCAATCCAAATATCCTCCCAAAATAGAATTTTGTTACCCAAGTAGACACCATACTGATGAAAGGTCAAAAGGGAGGTAGGACTCCAACAATGGCTTTCCAAGGGGAGAAGTGAGAAGCCCTAGGGTTGAGACCAGCATCCCATCCATTTGTTGTCATTCCATGAATACTTACTACCATGATGTGCCACAAACTGTCCTACTCCATGGAAAATCTCCATAAACACTTCCCTAACAAGGCTAAGTTTCTTAACCAGATATTACCAATGCCTAAACCCCCATGTTTCCTTTTCCTAGAAACTACTTCCCACATCACTAGATGGTCCTTTTTTGAGCCTCCTTTTTCCCAAAGAAAATCTCATAAGCTTTTCACTCTGATTTGGAACCTTGATAGGTAGTTTGAAGGTGGACAAGAAATATGCCGGTAGGTTGGCCAAAGTAGACTTGATTGATGTGATTCTACCACCTAGTGAGGTGTAATTTCTCTTCCACCCTTGAAGAGAACCCTCCGCCTCAGGCGCAAATTGAACCCTGTGCCTTTTTTGCGCTTTGCGCTTTTAAAACACTGGTTCAGGGGTCACCTTACACTTTAGTAGGTGACAGTTGTACTTCTGGTTTATTAGCTAATGAAAGTTACTGTTTCCTATAAAAAAAGTCATAGTTTGGTGATAAAGCCTCCTATTTCTGTGTGGATGGTGCAAGCATGGTTGTTGCCTGGCTGAAATGAGGTATGATTTTGTAAAAAAGTTTAGAAGAAAAAGAAGGGAGTAGTACGTAAAAATTTACTAACATAAAGAAAATGGAAAATGGAAGAGGAATTCATCATTTTTTCTTTTACTATTGCTTAATAGAATTCCTGAGTACAAGAACTTTTCACTGTGTTGTTTCTATGTTGAAGTAATTGCAACTGGCAACCTTCTTATTTTTTTCTTTTCACCAAGTACTTTATTCTTATCACTTGTCATAATGACATCTGTTTCTTCTGCTGCAGATTCATACTTTGCAAATGTTGTTGTTGGTGAAGGAGAGTCTGTGTATGACTATTGTTGGTATCCCTACATGTCTATTTCAGGTGCATCTGTAACTTTTCTTCAATGACCAGATGATATTGCCCCTTAGTTGCATGTTTCCTTGGATGTCTGATGCCAGTGAAGTGATCTTCTGCAACTAAGGGTTTTATTTTTTTTATTACTGTGATGATTGTTTAACTGATTTGAAACTTTTCTTGATATTTCAGATCCAACTACCTGTGTATTTGCAAGTAGCACCCGTGACCATCCTATTCATCTCTGGGATGCCACTTCTGGCCAGGTGCTGAATGACAACATGAAAGAAAAATGGACAGAAGATGCACAGTTTTTTTTTTTTTTTCTAAATAGAATCGCACATGGAGGGTTTGGCTACTTGCTAGGGCTGTCAAGAGGTCAAACTCAGATTGGAGTTTAGTCACCCGAATTTGATTTGGTCTGACTAATTTGATTCAGATAGGAGGATCATGTTCAAGAAAGTTGTAACTTTCACGAGACAAAATTACAAGTTACAAGCTTTTGATTGAGAATGCAGTATTTAAGTCAACTCTGCTAATGAATATATGCTACTTACGTGTGTATGTGTATGAACCATTCAAAGTTTCATTCTTTGGTACTTTTTCCATCCTATTCATATTCACCTCTGTGAAGGATTTCCCAATTTGCTCAAGTAGGGACCTTTCCCCACATGATCTACTTATTTCTTCCTTCTCTAGGGATCATATTGGCTGATCCATGCCATCCAATGATTAAGATACCTTCTGGACTGGCCATGTGTTCAATCCTTGGTCCACATCAGCCCCGGAACCCATCTTTTGTTGGTACTTTTTCCAACTAATGTTAGCCATCCAATGTTTCATATTTTTTTTTCACATTAATCTTGATCAACAAGAGCTCCACATAATTTTGTCCTTTTAGGACCCAATATATTAGATCAGCTAGAAAATTTTATCCCGACAGATGTAAATCTGGTTTTTGAATTTTAATTTTAAAACATTGAGAAAAAGAAATGCCGCATGAACTCCAATGTGCCACAATGGATGAATAAATGCTCATTTCTTCGTCCTGCTACTTACTCATAACATAAATGCTTGGTTGCTGAAATACTTGCCTTTAAGTGGCCAAACGTATGATTATGTTCAATAGCATAAAAGCCAAACAAAAGCTTCAACCGTAACCAGAGTTGGGTTCTTCAAACTCCCCTAACTTAAAACATTTCCACCTGATTTCTGATCCTTACATCATAAATAACTTAAGCAGAAAATTTACCATCCACACATTCTTTCTGCAACAGATTGAGTCTACCTTGCAACTTGGATTGAATCTGAGTTAAATCTGATCAGTTGGCAGCCGTACTGATCTCCTCCACAGTCCTCTTTCTGTGGCATTGGAAATGGTGGAACCTACCCTTTTACTTGCAAAACTGTGACATTGTTCCTTAAGATATGATTTTCATGTATCTTAATGTTGAAAATACATATTATACTTCATGATGGTTTCTTACTCTATTTCTTCTCTTTTTTCTTCTTTCATTTTTTTTCCTTTTCAGTATACATGATCGCTAAATGGTTCCATTGACAATTACAGCTGCGTTGCACATACCGGGCTTATGATGCCATGGATGAGATCACTGCTGCCCTTTCAATTGCTTTCAACCCCACTGGAACTAAGTAAGTTCGTTTAGCTTAGGTGGTTTATATTTTTCTTCACATTGTTATTATATCTTTATTTGAACTTCATAATTCTCATTCTTTAAAATTAAAATAATTTCTTTTCTCTGAGAATTTTGGGCTGTCTCTCTTACGGTTCATTTTAGGTTTCTTCTTTTGTGGGCCATTATGTTTTCTATCCTTTGGATTTTTGCCCTCTTTTCTGATAAATTTTATTGTAAATGGAAAGTAAATTTGGAAACAAATTATTGAATTGAACCATATATAGTATATATGACCGAGGGAACTGGAGTGGTTCCCATTTTGTTTGCTATTGTTGTTACTTGCAGTATGTTGTGATGAGGGTATTATTTGAAATATCGTTTCTTTACATGACTATATTTCTATTGTTAGTTTCTTTTTCCTAGGTCAACCACACACTTCTATGTACTGCTAAGTTCTAATAGCATCAGTATAATATGATGCTGATACTACATACCAGAAGTTGATATTGCCTAACTACTTGTGATTCTTATTTGACCTTTTCTTGAATTTATCCTGGGATGATTGTCTTGGAAGCATTTTGGTTAATGGGTTGGACTCTATTGACTATCAAGTGGATCTTCAAAGAAAAGGACCAACTGAACCTGGGGATAAATGCAGATCATTTGTTGTTTTACTCCTTTGTGGGTGTCTCTGCTTGTGCATGCACGGATCAGATGATTTTGCATTTGGTTCACTGTTTCGTCGTATCTTCCCTTTTCTTCTTTTATCTTCTCTTTGCTTCTGTATCTCTCTCTCTCTCTCCCCTCCTCCTCTTTCTTCCTTAATTAATAATGGGGAACAAAATTTAATGAATAAGATTCATCAGTTACTGATAAAAAATGAGGAAAAATTTCTAGGAAAAAAGGAGAAATAAAGATACCAAAACTAGATACCCTATAAACAACAGAGACAATCCAAGAAGATAACTTGTTACATGGAAGCAAACTGTTCTCTACAGATTACCTCCCTGCCAGGCTCTTCTTGGCAAGTGATTCTGTCATCAACTGTCCAATCTAGGCTTCTACTTGAATGAGGTAGGTATTTGAAGAAAAACAAAAACTAGTTTTCTTTTATATTCTGTCTATATGGATGGTTCAATAAAAGGCAATTTTAAGACCATGAAAAGAAGTTCTAAACCTCCATCTTGGTGGAGTTAAGTCACCAATGCCAGAAGACGGAAAAAAGTAATAAATTTAGATGTTTCTGAGAATACCTCCAAGGCCGAAATGATCCTGGTTGCATGACAAACAGCCATGATAGGCAACATCCCAGCAAATGGTTATTTAAACTTATAACTGCTAAAGAAAATGAACACATTTTTTAGAATACAATTATCAATGACAAAATGATATTTGTAGCTCATCACTGGTGAATCTTTGTGGACATAATCTACCTAGAGACCCAAATAGTTGAGACCAACATTGGGTGTATATATATGGTTTTACTAATAATATGAATGCAAATGATGACACACTTGGGATTGGAGATGAAGAGATAATGCAATGTGACCTTTTTCCAGTACCTTGTTTCTGTAATTCATAACAAGGGAGAGATTGAAGATGTTGCCCATAGAATTAGAGTGGGATGGGAAAAATGGAGGGGTGCTTCTGGTGTCTTATTTGATAGACAAATACCACTTAGATTGAAAGGAAACTAGTGGTGGACTGGGCTTGGGTGCTCCCACAATTTGCTCAAATCAGTAAATCAGATCTAGGGGAGAATTTTTAGAATGTTCTTGAATTTCATTTGCAATGATTCTCAGTTTTCAGTTTGTAGTTATAAATCTGTTATGTAATGATTTTGCAGTTTCTAGTTGTATTTGATTATCTCTATGGGTGTGGGTAACTTACCCACAGATTTGTAACCTCAAGTTTGATATGTTGTTTTATAATATTTACCTTTACTGATAAAGAAAAATCTGTTATGTAAGTGAGGTGCCATCTTGTCACCTCTTGGTCTGTACATTTTCTTTTGATTAATGAAATTTCTTTTTACTCTTCAAAAAAAAAAAAAACAGGAAAATTTTATGAAACAGTTGTAAGGCCAGCTATGTTGTATGGAGCAGAATGTTGGGAAATCAAGAAACATGTTCAAAAAATGAGTGTGGCAGAAATGCACATACTGAGATGGATGAGTGAAAAAACTAGAAAGGATAGGGTTAGAAAAGTGAAATTATTTGAAAGAACCAAAGAGTAGCTCCAATTTGTGATAAAATGAGAGAAAGTAGACTAGATGGTTTGGTCAAGTTCATAGAAGACCACAACAGTGTTTTAAGTGCAAGTCACGAAAAAAAAGCACAAGGAGAGGCACAAAGTTTTTTTTTCTCAATTGCATTACTTCAAGTAGCTAATGTAATGTAAAACATATTACATTCCTGATTCTACGAGCCACCTTTGTACCACGCCCCTCGAGGCAAGCCCAAACAAGTCCATGTTAGGTCTTAAATTCTTAGTTCTCACACAAAAAATAATGATTTTATAGTTTTAATTGCTTTTTAAGAAGACATTTTATTAGGATGAGTGAATGAACAACATTATCTAATGTGGACTTGTTTGGGCTTGCCTCGAGGGACATGGCACGGGGTCCGGGGGCGGAGCCCCTAATCTAGCCGCTATGTTAAAAAAAAAGCAAAAAAGCGTCAAATTTTCAAAAGGCACACGCTTAGGCACACCAGGCGTGCGCCTTTTGAAAGGGCTGCGCCTAGGACCTAGGCGAGGCGCATACCCTGAAATGCGCCTTGCCTGTGTGCCTAGGTGCGCCTTTTAAATCATTGAGTTGAAGTAATTAGAAATGATTTAAACGCCCATAATTTAACAATGGATATGACATTAAACAAAACGGAGTAGTGAAATAGGATTCATGTTGCCAACCCCATATAGTTGGGGTAAGGCTTGGATGATACATATAGTTACCCCCATTGAACCATAATTTTGTATTACCTCTAATTGCAAATTTCTTTTTTTTTTGATGAATAATAATAAGTTTATTGATTCAGAAGCAACTTTAGAGTGAGTTCATACATCATCCCAACGAGAGGCACGAGCTGCAGCCCCTCCTTGAGTCTTACAAGTAAACTAGGAAAGAAAAACAATAATCACAACTGAGCCCAAAAT